CGAACGTTCTGCGGAAGTTCCGGTCAGTTGTCTGAGATGTAGTTTGAGATCAACAAAGTACATTTTGATTTTGTTATTTTGTAGTTGCTGCTTCAATCTGCTTTCTGCGTTCTAGATAATGGAAGATGATCGGAGGGAACATGTTTCAATGACATATTATCATGCAGAGATCTCATATGCATTCCAATCTATTACGATATTTCAGTTTACGATTGGTTCTGTCTGTTCCCACGAGCATCACGGATAGCGATTGTCGATGGCTTCTTAATACTGTCTTTCCCGCTCTGCACAAATGGCTTCGCTTTATAGACCCTCACAAAGCTGTGCGGAAAACTAACAGTCTGCTGGATCTTGAGGAGTATAGTTATCGCTATAAGCGAATCAAAGAACAGTATGGGCGAAATCTGGTTGAGGTAAGTCGAATATCACTGCTATCATTGCTTTGCATTTTATCATCTTCATTCAGAACTGGACAGAAAAGACCGACCCAAAAAAGTTTGTCTATGAAGACTGTGGAATTGCAGCTTACCTTTTGGTTTGTTTTCACAGAGATTGTATATCTATCAAGTTCATTTCTATTGTTGCAGGAGTTATGGAAAAAACGGGGACATATTCCGAAGAAGTTTGCAGATCTAGGATGTGGAAATGGGTTGCTTGTACATCTGTTGAACAAAGAAGGAGTAAGTTGAGATTTTTCAAGAGCGTAGATATTAGTGTTTGGTATTCTCGAAAGTTTAAAACTTTAAAATACTGTATCGGGCACATACTAACAGCCGATTTTTTTTATAATGTGTGTATAAATGAAGTGTATAAGGAAGTGTATAAATCTCAGGTAAATGGTGTTGGCATTGATATCCGAAAGCGGAAAATCTGGTCGGAACAGCTTTCTGAAACATCTTTGATTGAGCAAATTGTTGACCCTTCACAGGTAGGTTATCTGTTGGCTTCATTTTTCACAAAATTAGTCTTTTTTGCAGAAAGATAATTCTATACCATCTGACGTGGATTATCTTATTGGTAATCATACTGACGAGTTGACTCCGTGGATGCCCATCATGGCTGCAAGGTGGTTCTCATACAGTTATTTTTTTCTGATTTCATAAAATGTTCCTTTTTGTTGTAGAAGAAACATCGAATTTTTCGTGTTGCCATGCTGTCCGTTTACCTTCCATGGAAAATATGTGGCCAGGCCTGGTGACACAGGCAGTCAATATGATTCTTTTCTGAAATTTATAAAGGAGGTGCGGTGATCTATCGTCCTTTTTCACCGATAGCGTAATCATTGGTTTAGATATGTGCTCGCCTGGGTTATATTGTTGAAGAAGATCGATTAAGCATTCCTAGCACAAAGAGGGTAAGTTTTTGCATGTTTTCGAATTTCGTCATTTGTTCACTTGTTTTTCCGAGATCACATTTCATTGACGCTCTTTTGTGAACTCCTGTCACATTAGACATCATAGCAATGTTGTTTACTGTCGAATAGCGACACATAGCCTGTACTTGTTGTTAGGAGACATTCTTGAATCAGATTAGCCGATAAGACGGCAGTCTGCTCATAGAATATTTTCACTGCTCCATAGTCACTTAGCTTATCGTTTCGCAGAACCCTTTTGGCTTATTTCATCTAGCTTTTTCACCGTCACAATGTTAGCTTTGGAATAATCTACCTGATACTCAGACAACTGACCGGAACTTCCGCAGAACATTCGCGGAAGTTGCTGCGGTTAGTTCCGAAAT